CACACACACACACACAGGTGGGTTGGGTGCCTATTATACCCGTCAGGATAGATCCATTTGATGGTGTAAAAGTGAAACTAGGCCATGTGTTCACTCACACCACCTCTCTCCATCTTATTCCCCACGTCCCTCCTTTTCTTCGCTCCCACTACTCCTTTCACTTCTTTCCTGACCCTTGTCTTCCCCATTATTTCTCCCTCAAACACCCGCCCCCCCAACTGAACTGCAACTTCTTTCGCTTCTTTGTCTAATTTTTTTCCCTTTTTTTATTAAATATTTGGGACATGATTATCCAGACTGATCAAGAGTCAAGTTTAACCATTAAGATTTAATTGTGAAGACCTTATAACATCTCTTTAATAAGTTCTTTGAATAATCATATATACACAAGTGAGGAAGACTGAGGTTCTAATGCGTATACAGCCTCATGGGTATGTACAGTATACATGGTACATGGATGTATCCCTTGGGGGAACAGATTCAGAATATTGGTACATAATGTTTTCATGAGCTTTTTTTAAAGTCAGAGAGTGATTTAGGAGTACATGCCAAATACTTAATATCCAAAAGGAAGAAAAAGAAAAAAATGGGTCAGAGAAAACATCAAACATGTGAGCATGCTCTCCTCTTGAGTACAGTGAACTGACACACATGACATACATGCCTGCATATGCACAAAAGCACGAAGGAGTGTGCACTCGTACAAGACACACATGAACCGAGTGACACTTGTAACTTAAGTTTATAGCCTGCAGAAGGAGGTGCAACGGAGGAGGAGGGGAGGAGAGGAAAGTGGAAGGGAGGGAAAATTATTACCATCCCCTGCCGTCCCCGCTAATAAAAAGCATAACTTCAAACATGTTTCTGATGATGGTTAAAGCAGGAGGAAATTGATTTATTTGAAGATGTTTTAAAGTGAATTTTTCACAGGTTGAGCGAGGGTCTTTGAAGCCATGCGGATGTGTGTGCGTATGTGAACAGCTGTGTGTGTAGGATGGAATGTTCATGTCTTTAGGGCTGACCTTAATGTTAGTACAGTAAAAAAGCAAAAAGTACTGCCGCTATCAACCGCCAAATGCTCTCATGACCACCGCAGGGTGTGTGTGTGTGTGTGCATTTGTGAGTATGTGTGATATTATAGCTAACCTACTTTAGTCAATACAAGCTTAAGCTTCTGACACCTGCTGTGAGTCCTCCTGTGACATGCAAAGCAAAGCTTCTGATCTGATTTACTAAGTGTGAAAATGAGGAAGGGTTGGATTAGCTTCACATACAGAAACATTTTAATCAAATGCAGATTAATTTACAGCTTTTTGCTGTATGTTTTCGATGGTGGATAGAGTGTGTGGGCCAACTAAACTATTTTAGGATTCATTTAATGCAAAAGTGTCAATGTGCGTGTGCTTCTGCAGACACTGATATCCATACAAGCCAGTTTGATTTATAAGGTTGATCTCCAAATGCAGAACAACAAATAATAAAAATGCTATTAACTCTAAGATAAATACGTAAAGTAAATCTAACTGAAAAAACTACCACTACTATGTTAATTTTTAATCTTCGTACCATAAGTTTCTTTTTAGGGTAGTTTAAGTATACTAACCCTAACCCTAAATAATTTTGGAGAGCCACATATGCTCTGTGGAGTATGCGCTTGAGTCATTTATTAATGTGTTCTTACAATAATCTTACCTGTTCGTAGAACTTGTTGTGAGCCACGTAGTATTGGGCATCAAATGACTCCTCGGTCACCAACACATGTTGCCTCTCCCCTACCTGCACAGAGTGAGAGAGAGACAGAGTGATTAATTATGGAACTGTATTTGCTCAGACAAACATCAACCAAGTTTACTAATGAAACATCAGCCTTTCATGAAGCATTTGTGCGAATGTGCTGAACATAAGAAAAACAACAAGATAAAAATCCCTGGTAATCATTTAGGACCATCCTTCTTTATCTCTTCTCTATCTTTTCTATTTCTGCATCTTTTTCTGGTTGGTTCACTCTGATTATAAAGCTACTTTGGTCTTTTTTATTTCTTGCCATTGATGTGCTTTTGAATCAGAAAGGGTACATATATTCACTTAGAAAACATTGAGAATGATCAATTTGTATTTCTGTCTTATTTGTAGGATGTAGAATTTTTTAGGTATTCCTGACAAGAAAAAAAGGAAACATGCTGTAAACAATGTATTTACATATTGGAACCCCTCTTAGACCTAAAATGTGTGCTACCACCGCTTTACCTGTTACTTTGCTACAGGATTGCTGGAAATTTTAACTGACAGAACCACACCATTTAGGTGCCAAATTTCAGAGCATATTGAACCAGACACTAATTTCATCTGCTGACACATCAACTGATGTCTTTTGGACATACAAAAACACTTGTAATATGCTTTTTTTTGTTTATGTACAGTCGGATGGAATTAAACACGCCTTATTATATAGTGTACAAGGGCTATGTATCTTTCAGTTTCAGTTTAAATTCAACACAAGCACTGACAGACACTCAGCCGTACAATATGCTTCTATTCATCAGGGTCCCAATTCAATCCAAGTTTTGTGCTTTCATGTTTTCTGTCAGTGCAGTTCACCATTTAATTACAATCTCAAGGTTCCTGAGCCACTTCAGTTTTAGCACTTTAGTTGAGAGGATAGTAAATACTATTAAACTCCTAGAGGGCCTTACAAAAAAAAAAAAAAAAAAAAACCTGGATAAAAGAAAAAAAAACAAGGCTATATACAGGATAGAATTCAAATGGTTACAGAAAACAGTCTATTCAGGACATCAGAAAATCAAATACCACAACAAGGCCTCCCAATTAAGACATTTATTACGAGACATAATGATAGAAAATAAATTTGCTGAAGAATGTTGTTGACTTAAACAAGGCAAGGGATGAGAACTTTGTTGAAATTACTGCAGGAATGAATAAAATCACCTTATAATTGACTTAGATAGAAAGGGAGATATCTTGTCTCACTTGTCCTCCATGCAAGTATCCTGGCAATCCAGTTTTGACAAAAATTGGATTGCGTTTTATAGATGGATCCACACTCATTTCATTTTACATTGTTGTGGATGTACAAAGTCAATACTTTGTTGTTGGTGTGGCCTAATACTTCTCCTGAAGTCTCCTGATTGATGTACAATTCATCTTGGGTATATTTAGTACATTAATGTCAGCAAACCCTACATAAGAGACATTTATTTTTGCCATGGCATCCAGGTTTATAAAAACATGCCAATGATCTTGTCATTAAGGAACAAGCACAGAAAGTTTACATCCCAGCCAGCAATTCAGGAAACAGTGCCGCAGAGCATATATCAACTTGTTTTTTAAAAATCAGCAACATATAGCTAAAATGCTGGGAACAGAGTGTCCTGTAGGCTCAATGGACAGTATTTGCATTTTAACTCTGTCAGTGATGAGCTATGTACTGTAAAACTGTGCTGACTGATCATTTCCTTAGCAATGTGTCAGAGCCTTAGAACTCATGGCTCTGACACATTTGCTCAGGGTGTTTCCATTTTTGCAGACACCCATCTTCTGTGCTCTTTTCTTCCTTCATTCCCATCCTTAGCCTTTTGCTTCCCTGTCTCCTATCTCTGGGCATTTTCTTTGTTGTTCATACCTCTCTTCCTATCACTATAAGTCCCTCTCATCCTTCTCTCCTTTCTTTTTTTCCACTGATTTTACTGTGCGTGTATGTGTGTGTTAGTGTGCGTGTCCCAACACAGACAGCACCTGCATAGGCATGCTGACAGCCTTAAAAAGAGACCAAATAAATCACTGTTTCCTGCAAACAGAGCAATTTTGTGGAAAAAATATCCTTTGAACATTAGTACTGGATGGCAAACATTTGATTTGGACTTTTGTTTGCTCCTTTAGACTGAAGACAGATGTCTTTGCTGTGAGCAAAAGAAAAAAATACTATGTTTACAGTCATATAATTATATTTAAAGAAAAAAAATGTTTTTAAAATATAGAGAACTCATCAATTAACATTTTAGCATTCTGTTAACCATCAACAACTATTTTACCTGTGAACTATGATTCGTTTTAAGTTGTTCTCATTTTCCCTACAGTGACAGGTAACACTTTGGAGTTGGAAAACCCAAAACATTTTTTCACAGATTCTTTAATCCAGTTCTATAGCAAACATGCAGAGCCTTTGGAAACAGGATGGTCCTGGGTCATTTAGCTCTGTGCAAGACAGAGGTCAACCTTACAAAAGCCTCTTTATTCTTGGATCACCATTAGCTGTCA